TTTTTTGGGACAACAGCAGCGATGAAGCGGGACATGGGTTCGTACAGACTGAGCATACAGACAGCCTGCAGACCCACTGGTTGAAGGAAAGGACAGCATGCGATGCTGGGATGTAAATAGTCGAACAAAAAAGTCACGACAACAACAGCATCCTGCCTGAATGGAAGGGAGGCCTGCTTACACTATCTCTCACTACAGGCTGGCATGTGGGCGTCCGGCTCAGAAGGTTCTGTAGTTCTACCTGCCAAAATTCCCTTTTGTAGATGAGCCTAATAGCCTGTTGGTGTCACATATGCAGGCTGCCTCCGCTAGTTGCAGTCATGATACAGGTCCATTCCATTACTTAGCATTGGCTGTAAGGTAGGTTAGCAACACAGATTGTTGTGTTGGTCATGCTGGCAGAACCTCCTTCTGAGTAAGTGAATTAGGTAGTTTATCGGCATCATAATGACTGTCATTACAAAGGAATGTTGATTTTCTAGCTGCAGTCGTGACACTGGAGCATACCATCTCTCACCACCAACTGTCAGATAGGCAGGCTGCTCAGGCCACTGCGTACCTCTACTTGCCGAACTTCACCCAGAAAGGTAAGCCCGGTAGCTTGGTAGATTGCTAGCTTGCTGTTGTCACATCTGCAGGATTGGTGGCATGAGTTAAGTTCAATGTTCAGGGACGCTGGACCCGATTTCCAGCAGGTGCTGCTCCCCACCAATAGATGGAGCCTCCCCGGCGATGCTAGCGGTGTCTGCTCTTACCAGCACCCCTAGCCTCTGCTTGGCTGTTCTTAAAAAGAAAAAAAAAAGGAGGCTGAATCCTCTATGGTCTGTGGAGTGGTTTTGAGCATCAACAACCACCCCACAACTTAAACCTGAGGTGGGCACCAATCCCTGCGACAAGAATCGAAGCAGACTGTCATATATGTATGTATACATATATTATATATACATATGCAAGGAAAATGAGAGAGAGCGAGATGACAGAATCCAGATAGCACAATCACATGAAAGCAAGAAAGTCCCAGTGTCCAGAAAGCAGCATTGCACCAATATTACACCAATGGAGAATCGAAACACTGAAACCGAATGTCAATGAGAGCTTACTCTCGTCCCCACCAACATACGTATCCAGGCCCTCTCTCCCTACTTGGCGCTCAGCGCCCAGGTTACTCCCTACACAGCTACTTCCTGCCTACGAATTGACAATGCAACTTTTGACGTCAGCAGCCACCGAAGTACTTGAAGATGCAGACCATCGCCAATACCAGGTATGAGCCCTCACATCCTCATCCTCATCTCTCCCTGTCTCTCCCTGTCCTTGTCTTCCTCCCACGTCTTCTCCCTCATGCACGAAGACCACCACCGCCTCCACTGGCTGTCCAAGCCAAACCCTGGCTATATAGGGCTGGCTATTGCGCTGCCCTCAGCAGCGCCCTGCTTTCTTCCAGCGCCCGTGCGCACTGCCTGGCAACTAGCGCTAGTGCACAGCGCACAGCCTGCGAGCGCACGCTCAAGTAGCACTGCCGCATGCACTGCCTAGTGCCTGAATGAGCCCACCAGTGGCGAGCTCTTTCCTTTATGGAAAGTGCTCGCCCAGTTTCCTGTCTGGCTGGGCCTCGTGTGTTTCCAGTAGCTTCCAAACGGGCCAAAGTGTCTGCGCCCAGGCCCATTCTGATAGTGGCCTGGCGACCGAATTGGTTGAGCCTGCCCAACCACCCAGGAGTAAACGTGAGGTTCTCCCTGCTTCGCCTGTGCTACTGGAAGAGCCTAGAAGGCTCAGGAATTATTTCTGATTTTCACGAGTATGGAGGATGTAACCAACTGGCGCATGGCAACTGTCTGGCGCCCACCAAACTTTGCCAAAATTGACGAACTCAGGCCATATTGAAATTCTGGGGCCCGCCTTCACTTAGGGCGGGCTCATGCTCTCTGAGAGGCCCTACAGGGGCATGCCGGGGAGCCAACTTGTAACAAGGCCTCGTCAAAGATCCATGTCCACATGGGGGTTACAGCAGGCTCTGCTTGGGCCCCTCAGCCTGGTCTCATAGCCCTATAAACAGGCATTGACACATATTTGCAGGCCCGCCTTCACTTAGGGCGGGCATGACAGCTTTCAGACACTGCCGAGGATCTAAATCCTCGCACATACATATATACATGTATATATACACACACATATATATATACACACACACATCTCTATGTAGATATACCCTGTCACAGCTCCTTGTTTTTTGTCCTTTTCTCCCTTTTCTGGCTTTGGTGCACTGGGCAAGTTCTCAATGACTAATGTATGCCGATATATTTTCCATCTGGTGTGGGTGAGTGATAGTCTACTTTGATTTTGGTTAAGGTAGATTATCATTTACAGTGTAATCAGTGAGGGGATTCTGCAGACTGTTGAGGGTTCAGCCTCCTGATGAGTCGGTGAAACTCCGACGAAACAGTTTGTCACAGCCCCTCATTTGTTGTCCTCTTCTCTCTCTCTGCCTACGGTTTACCGGGCAGTTCTGTTTGTGACGATATATTTGATACATTATCATACATATAGATATTTAGATATACATAGTCATAGAGAACTGCTGGGTGCTGGAGACAGAAAGGGAGAGAAGGACAAGAAACGTGGGTTTGAAACTTGAAAGACTTTTGTCAGAGATGTAAAGATGACCACCATGTCTAGCATATGCTATCCCTGTCGTGTAATGACGATTTGTGTCTGGACGTCTGTCCTGTGGCATGAAAATTGGAAGATATCAGTGTGGCGGCGCCTGTTGAACCTCGCAAGCTAGGAGATGCCAAGGCAGGGACTAGCAATGCTTCTTCTTCTTCTTCTTCCAACGCTATTGCTGGCACATCTCAGAGGGGTAATGATGGACCTACGGAGGGGGGGGCCAACGGAAGCGGGCAAGGATCGCTGGCGCAGATGCAAGCAGCGAAAGGATCTAGTGTTGCGACCGCATCAGCTGGTGGGGCATCACCAGCTGGCGTTTCCACGGCGTCTTCAGAACCTTATGTTGCGGAGAGCAGTGGTGTCAAAGGAAAGGCCAGCGTGCTGTCAGAAAAGCCAAGGACATCTTCCCTCCCGGCTTCCACACCATCAGTTGGGCCTGTTTTGAGTATCACCATTATGGGTTCAAGTGGAGAATTGGCGTTAAACAAGATCCTCCCAGCCCTATTTGCCTTGCACTACCAGGGATGGCTGCCAAAGGTAATTAGAATGTCCGGCACAAACATTTCAAGAGTGTTTGATTTTCCAATCATTTAAGGTCCCCTTTTGTGAGACCGTCACACCTCTGTTTGTCCGGTGTTTTACCCATGTGTGTGTTTGTGTGTGTGTGCGTGCGTGTGTGTGTGTGTGTGTGTGTGTGTGTGTGTGTGTGTGTGTGTGTGTGTGTGTTGTGAATGTTCACTACAACATCCCCTGTTCCACCCAGATGAGTAGATCCAAAACCGCAGCAACTTCACCTCTATTGTAGAAGATGAAGCATGCTTGAGATGAATCAATCCAGCAAGGAAACAGTGTTGCCTCCATTGTTAGCAACATGAGGCACAATAAGAACATTACCTTTATGCAAGCAACGCGCGCGTGCGCGCGCGTGTGTGTGTGTGGGTGTGTGTGGGTGTGTGTGTCTGTGTGTGTGTGTCTGTGTGTGTGTGTGTGTGTGTGTGTGACGATGATGTGTGTGTGTGTGCGTGTGTGTGTGTGTGTGTATGTGTGTGTGACGATGATGTGTGTGTGTGTGTGCGTGCGCGTGTGTGACGATGATGTGTGTGCACGACTCCAGCACAAGGCAACATGCAACAGCACTTAGAACGTGATGGACAAGAAAATATGTATCAACTAGAGGAGTGCACTTTGGGGAGCCAACGGAAAAGATAGCAGACGACAGGAAGCAAACTAAAATTGTTGTTTGCCTTTCCGTGTGCAGTTCTTTCTTCTCTTTCCCCTTACTTCCGCTTCTTTCGTCTGTGTGTGTGTGTGTGTGTGTGTGTGTGTGTGTGTGTGTGTGTGTGTGGTCATGGTCGCTGAACACAACTCCACAAAGAAAGTACGACTGTGTTTGTGTGTGTTTGTGTGTTGTGTGTGTTGCTTGTGATGCTTTATGTGTGTGGGAACAGAATTTCTACATTTTCGGTTATGGTCGGAGGGAAATGAGTGACGAGGAGATGCGATCGCTGATCAGTGAGAGGCTGACATGTCGACTTGATGAGGGAACCAACTGTGCCGCATTGACAGACGAGTTCCTTGCTCGGTGCTTTTACCAGCCAGGCGAGTATGACAGTTGCGAAGGCATGAAGCGGCTAAACGAGAGGATTTCTGAATGTGAGGTACAGACAGCAATATATATATGTTTCATTTTTTTCATCTGGACGATCCCATCGCGTGATTGTTGTGTCTGTGTGTCTGTGTTGTCCGCAAACTCACCAATGCTTGTGATGAAGGTTGTGTTCACGCTGCACTGAGCCTGCGCTTTGATCTCAAGCTAGGGATCAACTTCAAAGCAGGCGGTATTGTCGCCGTTGCCGCGGTCACCGGAGCAGTGATCTACTGCTTCACCCACCGCAATAGGGGGTGCATTTCATCTTGTTCTAATAGGGGTTCTAATGGGGGTTCTATGTATGTGTTTCCTTATATTGACACGAAGAAAGAACTGCATTGTGAGCCATGTGTTACATGCGCAGATATGCAATGTACGTAATAAACCGAGAATCTGCAATGTGGTGAAAAGGACTGAATAGACAATGCGGTACGAGTAGAATCTCGACTAGCAATGTACATTCTCATTCATACATAAAGATGCGGAAGAGCGCAGGGAAGACTTCGATACAAGACTGACCTGACAGGACTTGACCTCATTCACGTAGTTCAGAGTAACGAAGCAGAATGCTAGAGTACCTCTAACTAGCCCAATCAATGTTTGAACTCAGACTAAACATGCATTGTATCCATCACGAAGTGTGAAGGAGCCTGGCACTGCACACAGGAAGAAAGCGCCAGGTCCAGACATACACAGACGAAGAGATAAGGAACAGACGAAAGGAGGGAAGAAGATGGGAATGTCGTTAACACCAAGTCTTGGTCACCCATCCCAAATAGTCCCTCGTTGCCATGTCTGAACCCCCGAAAGTCGAGTCTGGATCCAATGTCACCAAGCTCTGTATCTCTTCTCTCATAGTCTGCAGATGCAGTGAAGTCAGAAGTGAGAGGGAGAGAAGAGATGGTGGACTGAGAAGAAGAAGAAGAAGAACTCTCTCTCTTCCTCTGTTAGGAACCAAGTACTAACCTGTGATGTTGGCGCTGTGCTGCAGGTACCTCGAAGATGAAGCTGGAGCAACGGCGCTGCAGGTAGGTACCTCTGGCCTCCGCCCAAGCTCTCTCTCTCTCTCTAGTACTACCTAGCTATGGCGCCCAGCACTGGAGACTACAGCTACTTACTGCGCCCAGCGCTGGAGACTACTAGCTAACGCTACCACTACTACAACACAGCGCTCCCTCCAGAGTGCTGCACCCGAATCCTGAAGACTACAACTACCAACTGCCTACCTCGGAAGTGCCTGGGAAGTCCTATGTGCTACCTCGGCCTGCCTCCTGACTACTGGAGGCCAGTCAGGCCGAGGAGGCAGCTCTTGCCAATGCCGAAGTGTGCCAGGGGCTGGCGTGCAGCAGTCTGCTTGAGGCTGGCGTGGGAAACAGACTAATAATAGTCTGTTTCCGAAACCCTGGTTCGGTGCCTGAGTTTCAGGGCCGTTCGTTCTGATGAATGACCGAAAATGGCCCTTCGTTTCAGGCTAAAAAGGCTGTTGCCATTTTTAGTCTGACTTTTTAGCCTGAAACGACCAGGGATAGGCCCTGGACTTCAGGCTTTTGGCCTGAACCGACAGGGGGCCTGTAAGCCCTGGATTTCAGGCTTTCGGCCTGAAGTTCAGGCTTTTGGCCTGAACGCTGTCGGGCCTGCAAAATGGCCCATGTGTGCACGCGCTGCATGTAACACATGTCAAAAAGGGAGAAAAGGGCAAAGTTGGGCCAAACTGTTCCATTGGACCATTACCGACTCATCAGCAGGGTCTATATCCGGGGTGTTTGGCTGGACACCGCCGACAGCCATCCAGGCGGATGGGTCTTTCCTGCGCCGCGGAAAATCTAAATGGTTGGNNNGGGGGGGAAAGGAGGAGGGGGGAAGGGTGCCTTCTGAAAAAAATTGAAAACGTCTGAATGCAAACCACTTTTGGCTGAGGGTCAGAACCAAATTCCCAACCAAACTGAAAATAAAAAATTGAAAAAGGAAAAAGGAAATTATATTTGGTATATTTAATGAGATTAAAGAAAACAGAACAAAAAAGTGATAAACATTGATTAAACCACCAGTACCTACGGGGTTTGTGAGGCCCCCTCTGACGTGAATGAATACAGACCCGCGCAGCAGGCCAATTCATCCGCCGAATTAAAGCCTAAAAACTGGGTAGGTACTGGTGGTTTAAGGGAACCCCTTTAGGGGCCCCTCTAAACCCTGTCTATAACGCCTGGGCCTCCATTTGGCATGCACAAAATCCCCGTATAAAAAAGTCTGAAAAAAACTTCCCCCCCCCTCTCCCCCCTTCCCCCTCTTCTTTCCCCCCTCTTTTCTCTTCTTTTTTCCTTCCTCTCCTTTTCCTTTTCTTCTTTCTTTTTTAAAGAGGGCGTCAGCCTTTAGATATGATCATTGAACCGACTGGCCCAAGGCAATTCACAGTTATTTTTATTCAGTTCATCTGGTCGCAACTGGATTTGAACCTTCTTTTTTTAAGAGCCAGCTGCTCAGCTAGCAGAGGTGTGATAAGAGCCCCGCCTTCTACCTGGCTTCTCTGGTCGCGACTGGATTCGAACTTGGGTGAAGTTGGGTCTATATTTCAACAATTCATGGATGTACCAACTGAGCTAGGCTCATCCGTTAGCCTGGTTGGTACACCCATGGACTTTTGAAATACAGACCCAAGCTGCAACCAGATGAACAGAATAAAAAAACTGTGGGGTCTTTGAGATGGCCAGAATCTCATATTTCCCCCGCCCCCCGCCCCCTTATCTTTTGGATGCAAAACATGCTTGCGGGTAATAAGCGACCGGACTGTTGCCCCCCATTTTTTTTTTATTTTTTATTTTTTGTTGCCCCCCAGAATAGAAGGGTGCGTGGCTTTTTTTTTTTTAAGTGATGCCCGGAATCCCGGACAGCTCAGGCCTTGTGAGCTGTGGACAGACAGGGAGAAAAGAACAAGAAAATGGTGGCCGCCGGCCTGTGACAGACGGACTCAACGTAGTTTCGATGGCACATCAGGAGGCTCAACCGTTGTCGGAAAAGCGGTTAACAGAGCCCTAAATTTTCAGGGCAGGTTTTTTATAAGGGTCATTATAACAAACCTCCCACACCTTTTAAACCACTAGTACTTCCTAGAGTAGTGCCCGTTAACGCGCCACGATTTTGGGAAACATACACGCTACTACTGGAGCGCCCAAATTCATCCGACTAAAAACGTTTCTAGTACTTTCTACTCTTTTTTCTTCCGCGACCGATAGCTGGGCCAAGTACTCATGGTTTAAGCCAGACTTTTCAGTGCTGGCCTTGTTGGGGGATCTAACCTGGGGCTGAAAAGTGGTGGTCCCCGCTAACCACTTGTGCTGTTGACAGTCTGCACAGTCTTTGAACAGGTGATACTGTACCCGAGGTGGGCACCAACCACTGCCCCAAGACCGATACCCCGTGGTGGGCACCAACCCCTTCCCTCTTGGGTCCCTGTGACAAAACCCAAAGCAGACGGCGCAAAGCAACCACTGCCCCAGGTTCCACCGCGCACTCACAATGAGGTGAAATGTGTGCAAGCCGGCGTTTTTGAAGAAGTCCGGCATTGGAAAGGGTAGGCCTTGCCAGACGGCCAACCGTCAACCGCCCAGCCCACCACTGCCATGCTAAAAGCTGACAAAACGAAAATGAACGGCAATGGGGAAAAAAAATAAAAATAAAAACTGGCACAATGAATCAAAACAACTGCCGGTTCTGCGTTTTGTGGCTGCTTCTACGTTTTTCCAAAGGCTCGGGGGGGAACTGATGCAGATAGGTTCAGAAACTGATGCAGAGTGGTTTAAACTTTAAACTGCAATCGTTTAAACTTTAAACCACCAAACTGGTGGTTTAAAGTTCAAACCATTGCGGTTTAAACTTCAAAGTTTAAACCATTGCAGTTTAAACTTTAAAGTTGAAACCATTGGGGTTTAAACTTTAAAGTTTAAACCAATTTGCGGTTTAAAGTTTAAAGTTTAAACCAGTAGTTGATACGAGCCCAAGTTTACAAAGCTACCAGCTGCGCCTTTTCAAAGTGACCTGCCGCTTTTGCTACTGCCCCAGGGCCAAATGGAAACACTCTTGCCACACGCACAAAACGGCAAGAGCAGCAAATCTGCTTCAGGTGAGCTGGCTGGCGGTTTAAACCGCAAGTACACCGCGCAGGCAAACTTAAGAATCGGAAATGTGTCATCCGAAAAGTTCGGGTGAAAAAAAATGCTACCAGACCAAAATGGCTGATGCCCCCAGCCAAAAGCGAAGAAAAAAAAAAAAACGCGCTCCGCAAAGCTTGGCACGCAGAGGGATTCCAGCTCAGCAAAAAGAGGATCGAAGGTTTCTGATCAGGTAATGGACCCCTTCACTGTACTGGAAGTGATATAAGGAGTTGGTCATCTCCCCTCTGGACGTTCCTATGTTGGACAGGGGATGCATGTCCTCTGGACCCCCCCATCCCCTGCGAACCCCACCCACCCCTGCCTCTCCTTGAACACTAGCAAATTCCCCTTGCCAGAGATGAATCTGGATGGGAACAAGGCCAGGTGCATGATTTGTACTGGGGTGTGAAGAGGGCCATCCACAGTCCGGCGAGGGCAACTCTGAAATTCATTCCACAACCTCAGACATGGCAGTCTCTCTTCAATGCTTTTTGCTCTTCTTGATTGGGGGCAGGGGGGCTGGGAGGGTGGACGGGATGGAGGGGGTTGGAAAAGAGGGGGAGGGGGCTGCAATGATGGGGTGCAGAAGGAAACCAATAAGGTGTGTGGTCCCATGAATGATGGGCGATACTGACTATTCTTTCGAATGACACATTATCTTGGGTTGCTGATCTCCTAGGGCGATAATGCAGCGAACAGGATCTTCTACCTTTCTGTGCCACCTCCTGTTGCTGTCCAAGTAGCGCAATGTTTAAACATCAACGCAATGCAGAACAATGGATGGAGTCGTGTTATACTCGAGAAACCTTTCGGACGAGATGCAGTATCATCCGCAAAGATGACGAAGGAGCTCCTCACTTGCCTAACCGAAGAGCAGATATACAGGTCCGTAAACCGAAAGGTTTTCTTTCGTTTTCATTGATTGAACTTTGAATTTTGAAGGCATAATGGTTGCAGGGAACAGAACACAACACCGGATAGTGCGCATTTTCAATTTCTAAGTTTTTTTTTTTTTTTTTTTCACCAATTGCTGATAAAGGGATTCGAATTTCAAACCCTTTCTTACTTTTATTTTTTCTTTTTCGTTTTTTTTTTTTTTTGTTTTGTTGGCGGGGCTTGGGGGGGGGGGTCGAATGTTGCTTATTTGTTTGAAAAAATGACCGTTATGCAGGTGCTTTTCTTCTTTGGTTGTTTGTATATATTATTATATTAATATATTCATTATTATATTGTTTAAGTAACCATTCAATGGGAACACAAATTTTCCAAGCGGCAAAAGACTCAAAGCAGGACAAGCACATATATGAGCAAAGTTAAAATGAAAAAAAAAAAAAAGAATTACAAAGCCAAGAGCACACCCAAGGAGAACACATTGACACCGAAGTCCCTTGATACAGAAGGTCCAATGGCTCGCCTCCCTGCTCATCAATACAACCACAATGTAGCAGCTGTATTATAAGGTGACCGGGTCTACTACTCCCCCCCAAGTCTCTCTCTCTCTCTCTACACATCCTACTTCTCTCCCTCACACTCTCTTTCTCTTTCTTTTCACTGTCCTCTCACGTAGCAATGCTGCCGAGTCTGACAACTGTGAGTGTGCTCCTCGATCATCACCAGGTAAGTCCGCCTGTTCCCACCGCTGTCGTCCCCTGATCACTCCAGCTGCAGCCCCACCTCACCTCCTCCCCGTTCAGCTATGGCTGCTGCTGGGCCGCTAGCGGAGCAGCTGTCCGTGGCTGCTCCTCATCCTTCTTCCGCAACGAACGCTCGCTCGCTGGCTTGGCGTGTGCTCCAGCAGCGCTTGCGCTGGCAGTCAGCGCCTCCGAATCCCTGGAATGCTGTGTCCCCTCCCCTCCCCTTCCCTTTGTCACCCTCTGGAGGCCGCGGCTACCTGGGTTCGACCACGGTTCTTCCTCCCCGAGAGGCAGGTCCTGCGGCCCAGCCTGCTTTTCCAACTGTATCACACCAGCCTTCACTCAGGCCTGGCGGACTTTCTTTCTGTCGCGGCCCTCACTTACGGCCCGGCCTATCTTCCGTGCGTGGCACCTGGTGGAGGCCCTCTGAGGCCCTCTGAGGCCTGAAGCCCTCGCACTAACCCCCTTAGGCTCAAAATCTCTCTCCAGAACCATCATTCTTGCCGTTGCTTCCCTTCCGGAGGCCCTTCATCAATCCTTCCCTGGGCCACCCAAGCCCATCTTCTTTACGATCTTCTAGGGTCTCTACAGTTCTAAACTGGTGACCGATCTAGGGTGCCCTTCAGGACCCTTGAAGGCCACTCTAGAATCTAAATAATCTAAACTTATTTGGGCCTTGGGTGGTCTTCCTTTGCCACGTGGCTTCTGCACAGGCTTTACGTGATGCTCCACAATACGGTCGATGTTAACCTGTCTTCCAGTCATGGTTAGGAACATCATAGACCTCCAGGAAGAAAAACTGGTGACGGTGTGAAAGGCAAGAGTTTGAAACTTTGGATTCTTGGAAGACAGCACACAAGTACGGATGTACGGATGTACGGATGTACGGATGTACGGAAGTTGACCCTGCCGGGACATCTAGGACATAGTAGGAAAAGCCATCACGAGCAATTACATAGGATGACTAAACCGAGTTTAGGAACTGAAAACTGAACCCGGTTTCCAGCACGTGATGCTCCCCACCAATAGATGGAGCGGCCCAGCAGACAAAGCCTCAATCCCGGTGGTTCTCTTACCACCACTGGGTGGGGATAGAGGACTTGCACAAGGGCCTTTAAAAAAAATAAAAATTAGGAACTGAAATACTGCAGGCATACCTTTCTCGGCCTTTTGGCTAAGGTCAAGTGTAGTATCTGTTCTGATCAGTTTAATATCTGATCCGTGGTCCATCGGACCATACGATATTTAAAAAAAAAAAAAAAAAAAAAAAAAAAAAAAAAAAAAAAAAAAAAACCCTGCAGGCCCGTGCAGGGGGGTCAACTTCTTCCGTGATATTTCCTGCTATGGCGTGAACTCTGATGACCTGGCGCAGGCTCTCTATTTCCTACGTGGAACGTTGCTACCGTCTTCACCCTAATAGAACGCCCGGTCATTATCGCTGCACCTGGACCGAAAGTTGTGCCAAATACATCTATAATGACTGGGCGTTCTGTTCGGGTGAAGACGGTAGTACTCTTGCTACTCATCTGCGCTTACTCTCACAGTCCATCATCGGCCGTTGTTGAGTTTTCTGTAGTTGTTTTACAGTTTGTCTGTTCCATCATTTTCTCATACTAAAGGGGGCATATTCCTTGAAAGGACTTCCCTGGACCTTTTGTTGTGACAGGTGCTAACTGCTGTTTGGGGGTCTGGGAACAAGAAAAGGTCCAGGGCAGTCCTTGGCGTCCAGCCCGAACTGTTAGTGCAAAATCACAGACTGAAAGACCTGTCGTTTTCTGAGTTTTGCTGCTGGACTGAGTGACTTGCTGAGATTCCCATTTTCTAAGTACGTGTGTGTGCACGATTGCTGACTCTCCATGTGTTTGCCTGACCGCATGATTGCATGTGTGTGTGTGTGTGTGTGTGTGTGTGTGTGTGTGTGTGTGTGTGTGTGTGTGTGACCTGCTGGGGTACTTGTGTGCTGAGAAGGCCCATGGGCCTGGTACGCAGCTGTTGAGGGCACAGCGCGGTAGTACCGTAGGAAAAGCGCCCGCGGAGGCCAAAACGCTCGAGTAGCCGGGAGGTAGTCAGAAGAAGACAAAAAAGTTAGTACCTTGGAGACCGAAGTGAATTTTATTTAGAAGAATGGTAGGCATAGAGTCTGGGGGTACAGGTCCAGTAGTCTGAGTTGGAATATCAGTCTGCAACGATGTTCTCTCCAATTTGTGGATGTACCATTAGACTTGGGAGGGCCTGCGGCCTCGTGGCCAACGCGCGAAGAGCCAATACTCCTATATAACTTCAGTGGAGGCAAGAGGCTCAGCCTAATTTTGCCTGCATGCATTTGATTGGTGGCACGCTGCTGGAGCAACCGCCCAAGCGGAGGAGCGCTGGGTGGAGGAAGAAGGCAGCTTGGCCTTCCACCTCCGCTATGGTGGAAGTAGGTAAGGGGGAAGAGTAGGAGGAGGAGGAGGAAGAAGACTGTGAGCAAGGAGGAGAGTCACGGGTGAGCTCACCTGGCTATGGTGGTCAGCATCTTCATCTTCTTCGTCGCCACTGCACCGGGAAGGCCCCAGTTGGGGTGGGCACCTACAAGGAAGACTCCGGAGGTAGTGATAGGCATGGCGGCCATAGTAGGAGGGACACATTAGCTTTGCATTGTCCTTTGAACATTGGAGCTTCACTCCAATAATCCGCCATAGCCACCTGCTCAACCAAGTAGGAGGAAGGTGTATGAGATGGCTATGGTGGACCGCTTGAGTGGAGGGAGGATTCGGACATTGGTTCCCGTTCATTCTTTCCTTGCTATTATTATTATTATTATTATTATTATTATTATTATTATTATTATTATTATTATTATATTTCTTATTGTAATGAAGAATTGCGGTAGTAATTGGAGGTTGAAGGTGGTGGTGAGATGAAGGGGGATTGACATCGTCTTTGATGGTGTTCATCTTCATCTTCTCTTCCATTCTTATTTCTTCTTCTTCCTTTGTCTATTTCTCTTTCCAAGTTTTTCCATTTCAGTTGCAGTTGAACAGCATTGTCTTTCTTTGAGTTGTTGCACTGCAAATTTAGCCATAGCATCTGTAAAGCTGGGACTGCTGTCGTTGATCATTCACAAAACCTCACATGGTTCTTGGTGCTATGATGATGAAATGAACCAGGGGGTGTACACCAGAGGACCACAGATCAACCTCGTTCACACACCAGAGGACCGTAGGTCATCCTTGGTTTCTTTCATCATCATCATCATAGCACCAAGAACCATGGATCACCAAGGACCATATCATAACATCTGTGAAGTCGGGAAGAAGTTTTGAGGATGCACATGTACATGCACTAATGAGTTTTCATTCCTCATTTAACACGCACGCCAATTTACATTTCTGTTAAAGTCTTAAAGATAGTCTTTTTTGCCTTGCAGGTTCCCACCCCTACTACTATAGGCACTTCTTGCAGTCTGAGTTTGAAGAAATGAAGTATCATAGCAAATACTATAGGCCTCTACCATGGCTGATGATGAAGCGCCATAGCCACGGAGGTGCTATGCCATAGCCAGGAGCTCCCCAGGTCCTCCTCCTAGTACTGGAGGGAGGCATCATAGGTACGCTACCTGTCGTGGGCCATCGCTCCTGCCTTAGGCAGGTAGCATACCTATGATTCCCGCTACCTGGGGTCTTGGGCCCAAGACAGCTAGCGTACCTATGATTCCCGCTCCCACCTTAGGACCGGGGTCCCAAGGAGAGACCCAACAAATCATTTGTTTTGATGTCATCTGCTTGCTGGGTGAGTTCTTGGGTCAATGGTATTCATGACGATCTATGACAAGGGTTTTGACGGAACTCAGTGCAAAGAGGGGAGGGTAGGGGACCATGGGTGAACAGCGCGGTGGGAAGTTTGACGGGGGAGGGAGGGGAGGGAGGGGAAGGAGGGGGAGGGGAGAGTGGGGCAGGGTGTCGACAGGGTCCAAACTTTAGTGAGGGATTTGATTGTTGCCACTGAAATTATCATCAATCACTTTACACTAAGTATTACTGACCCATGTGCTCCCCTCACCCCTTCCTCCCTATTCCTCCCTCCCTCTTCATCCTCCCTATTCCTCCTCCCTCCCTCTACTTCTACTATTGCTGAATTGGTTTGTGCTTTGCTTGCTTGTGCACAGAATCGATCAACATATGGGAAAGGAGCTGATCGAGAACTTGGCCGTTCTGCGATTCTCGAACTTGATTTTTGAACCACTTTGGTGTCGGCAATACATTAGAAATGTGCAGGTACGGCTTCTCGGTTTAGGGTTTTAGGGTTTTAGGGTTTTAGGGTAGCTTTGGCCTGGATTTGGCATTATGTTAAAGCTTGGATGTGGACGGTGCAAATTTTGCAATGTGAGCATAATTCTGTATATTGTGTGCAGTGACAACACTGACAAGGCTTTTCGGTTTGTTCGTGTTCTCTTTTTTTTTTTTTTTTTTTTTTAAGTGCAATGAACCTGGTCATCAAAAAGCTTTAATGATTTTTCCGAAGAAAAGTTGTCGACGCCTTGAACAGATTGCAATACAACCAATTGCCAATGGAAAGAGCGAAAATGACAACGCTCCCGCTTTTCTTGCTATCACTTAGTTTCTTCCACTTGCGGCTCTTGTTGGACAGAGCACTGATTCTCGCTTGTGCTGTTGTGCATTCCCAAAAAAAAAAAAAAAAAAAAAAAGCAAATGGCAACACATATGGCAGCAAAGAAAATGAACCGGAATGCAAAGAAGAATTCNAAAAAAAAACAGTCGCAATGTCCTCCAGTCTCTCTCCACTTCTTCTTTGTAGTCTTCTCCCACAACAATTAGCCACCACCTCACATCGATCGTGGGGATTCGTGGCTATGGTGGACGCTTCTCTCTATCCTCCCTCTTTGTAGTCCAGCTCCACAAGAACGAATTCTCAAATCTTGATTGAATACTCCAAGTCCCTTGTAGTCTTGGAGCCACCATAGGCTGGATTCAACAACTACCAGTTCTCCCTCCCTCCCACCCTCTTTGTAGTTGGTCTTCTCCCACCTTTTCAATGCAGCTATATGGCCATCAGTCACCAGGTAAAGCTTCTCCCTCCCACCCTCAGGCCTCCTCTCTCTCCCAAACGTTCTCCCTCCTCCCTATCCTCCCCCCCCTGCCTCCTACCTCTACTACCAACTATGGCTTTTGTGCCCTCTCTCCTTCTGTACGCAGATATGACTGCCTGCCCAAGTGCGCTCGCTCCCTTCTCTGGCAGCACCAGTGCAGCTCGGCACACAACTTCAGCGCTGAACTGAGCACAAGGGAGAATGTGTGGCGACCGGAGGATGGCGGCAAAGATACATTGCTTTCACCCCCGCACCAGTCGGCCGCCTTGGACTCGTCCGGAAACTTTATCTAGCGTCAAATACGCCTAGCTAAAATCTGAATGTGCCCATGCGCGAAGATCGGATTCTCAAACATCCCCTCGCCGCCTCCCCGACACAGCCCTGTTGCAGGATAAGCACACATGGTTAAGGGGGTTAAGGGGGTTAAGGGGGTTACCCATGTAAAATAGTGAAAGCCTCTGAAGGCATATGATTTGATGACAAGATCAAAGGCTTTCAGATCCACAGCCTTCACAGCCTTTCACTACCATTTTTGACGTGGTTAAGTTGGTTAACCCCATTAATTTAATTTGGTTAACCCCATTAACCATGTGTGTGCTTTGGCACATAGCCAATCAGAGTAAAAGGTCGATAAAAACCACTGACCTGTATGTAGTCAGAACCGCCAGCAAACGCAGTCAACCGCTCAAGCGCTACTGCAACTCTTTTTTTTTTGCTGGCGATTGTGGTAACCGTAGTTGCTTTTGCATAACTCGGCGTCAAGACATTCGAGCTCCCATCTGCAACATGTAAAGGTCCCTCTCTTCTGATAACCGCTGCGTATATGTGCTGCAGAGGGGAGGTAGGTGAGTGAGAAGAGGGGTAGCGTGAGCGCATTGCCGAAACGCACCCAGAAGAAGCATCACACGTCGTCATGCACCAAGCACACACACACACACACACATACAGACTTCACGAGCTTAGGGCAGGGGGGCATTTTTTTCTCTGTATATATGTGCTGCAGGGGGGAGGAGACTGGTTTTTATTTTTATTAATAAGAAAAATTGTACCATTTCTCGATTTCTGTGTGTCATCCTTGCGCAGGGGTCATGCTAATCTTCTTTCTCTGCATCGTTCCAATTTTAGTGGATATCCTGAATGACAGGAGGAGGCTGTTATTGTGTGCGCAGAAAATAAAATTTATGGCTGTGACAAACAGTTTTGCTTATCAGTGTGTGCATTGTGTGTGTGGTGGTGATGGGGGGGGGGGGTGGACGGGCCGGAGGGTGCGCATGCATGCTTGTCATCTTGACTTGCTGATACACCAGGTTATATACACGGAAGGCATCGGGATTGAAGGCCGTGGAAAGTAAGTGCGAGTAGGACAGGAAATTTCGGGTCCCATTTCAGTTGCCTGAAGTCTAACTTGTAGGTAGTCTGGACTGAAAGAAAAAAAAAAGTAGGATACCTTTCTCTGCCTTTTGGCTAAGTGAGATCAAGTGTCGTATCTGGTCTGATCAGTTTCATATTTGATCCATGGTCCAACGGACCACATTTAAAAAAAAAAAAAAAAAAAAAAAAAAAACAAACAAACAAACAAACAAACAAACAAACAAACAAACAAACAAACAAACAAAACAAAACAACAACAACACGGTGGTAGGTAGTCTGACGCTCTTTGCGTCACCAGGGGTAGATTTTGGGACTCCATGTCATCAGAAGGAAGGAGAAGGAGAAAAAACAAGAAAAGAATGTATCTTGCATGCCTTCACCTCTGGACATTTTTTATTAATGCCGCCATGTGATTCTTCTTCAATTCATAATGCACGACTGAGCTTTGTGTGTGATGTCTGCACAATTCATAATGCACGACTGAAATTTCAGACAATGCCATACATCACAAATGAAGAAGACGAAGAAGACGAAGAAGACGAAGAAGACGAAGAAGTGGAATTAGACTTGGGAGAGAAGAAGAATGAAGAAAGAAAGACGAAGAAGACAACAGAGGACAAAAGATGGAATCAGTGACATCTCACTCGTCCTCCTCTCGTCATCACCACCATCTTCTAGCACATAACTCTGTCCTCCTCTTATTTTTTTTTTACAACAATTTCAATAACAAGAGTAAATGAATGAAATGAATGATGCACAAGAATCAACGCCTGAATGATCACCCTTACTGCCAGCAATCGAAGACCTCTCTTTCATCTCTCTCTCTCTCTCTCTCTCTCTCTCTCTCTCTCTCTCTCTCTCTCTCTCTCTCTCTCTCTCTCTCTCTCTCTCTCTCCCCGGATGGTTGGAGAACTAGATATGGCGGTTCACGAATGCTTAGCAAGTTAGCATGGATGTTCAAAAGACAACGCGCACTACGACCATGCCCCCTCATCTCCTACCGCCATAGCCACACTATGAGATGAAGTCTGTGTCCAACCCGTACCATCGCAGGGGCCTTCAAGCACGGAATTGGAGAAGAAGGTCTACCATAACCAAAGGTAAGTCTCTCTTGTCGGTTCCCTTCGTCCTCCTCCTCCTCTACCTCTAACTTCCCTTCCACCTACCCCGATAGCCTAGCTTACGGTCCCTCTCCCTCTAACCCCCTCCATAGCCTAGGTCTTCTCCCTCCTACCACTCATCCTCCATAGCCATCTAGGTCGAGTGCTCCGCATCCCCCTCCCTCAGCGCGTAGCAGCAGCATGACTTCCATGTGAATGTCCATCCCATTCATTGCACTGGCAGATAGACATACTCTTGCCTCTCGGCCTTCGGACCTCACCACCCGGGTTGTTCCTCCCTCTGCCCCGGTAGTACTTCCTGTCGCTTGCGCCTACCGCAATGTTCCTGCCTTTTGGCGGAAACACCGCTGCAGTCTGTAACTCACCACCTGAACCTAGACCTAGCTGGTATCCACATTCGGGCCTGGACCATCATGACGCGCGCTGGAAAACGACCAGACATACCTAGGCCTGCCTGAGTAACCGGAGAATCATACTGGACCCCTGCCAAATTCTACTTGTGTCCCTCTCCTCACCAGAATTTGTGTGTCCTTCGGTGGCCAGACTTCAGTTCTGTCCTTGTGTCTTCACCAATTGAGTATCCTTGTCAGCCGCTGGCAAACTCTACGTTTGCCCCTGCCCGAAATACAGAAGCACAGCACGTGAAACAAGGCTAGCATATGGGAACAGACTTGCACAAAGATCTTCCACAGGCAAGTACACGACCTCACACCGGCCCAGAAAACACGGCAAAACCGACCTTTTTTTTTTTTTTTTTTTTTTTTGACCTTTGTATTTTTTTTTTTTCTGGACCGTTTCTCAATTTATGTGTGTGAAATTCTACGTTTGCCCCTGTCCAAAAAACATAATGATAATAATAAAATAAAGAAGAAGAAGAAGAAGAAGAAGAAGAAGAAGAAGCAAAGCACCTGAAACAAGGCTAGCATACGGAAACAGACTCGAATAAAAGATCTTCCACAGGCAAGCACATGGCCTTAAAAAGGCTTACATGCATGCATTGTCACCAGGGCACAGCAGCTCAGAACACATGGCAAAACCAATCCTTTTTTTTTTTCTTTTTTTTTTTTAATCTGGACCATTTCTCAGTTTATGTGTGAGTCATCCTTGTGCAGGGGCCATGCTAATCTTCATTCTCTGTATTGCTCCAATTTTAATTTTTTAATTTTAACTGATGTCCGGGAGGACATAGCAACACTGATTTAAACTTGGAAATCTTCAAATGTCAACAAAACAGATCAATTGCAGCACACCCATTTCTCAGAGAAAAAAAAATGCAGATTTCTGATGCTGAAAACTGTGCCGGTCATCACATTCCCCTTCCACTTCTTCTTTGCTAAGCAATTATTACTGCCACCCTTCTCCAAATGCATTCCGTAAGTTATGAAGACGGCATCTGTGCATCAGACATGTGATTCAAAGATCAAATCCTCTTTTTCTTTTTCTTTTTCTTTTATGTGATTCAAATCTTAATCTGAGATGTCAATCGTTAAACAATACCCACTAGTTTTAAGTTCTGACTGAATTTGACAGCTGTCCTCTTTCAGATATTTTCACGACTATGGTATCGTGCGAGATATAGTCCAGCTGCATCTGCTGCAGATTATAGCCCTGTTCGCAATGGAACCGCCTGTGAGCTTGGACCCTGAGGATATTCGTAATGAAAAGGTACGGTCTCCCATCATTTCATTTTTCTACTCCTTTCTTTCTATTTTAGGTTTTTAGCGCATCATCACTTTTCCGGTTTTTTTCCCCCTCATCCCCATCCCTCTCCCTCTCTAACCTCTGCTGCATGCTCCTCCTCCCTTTCTTTCTTTCCTGACTTTCCCACTTTCTCTCTCGACCACTCTTTCCCTCTTCTCCCTTTATTCCCTCCTTCTCCATCCCTCCTCTGCGCAGTTATTTGCTCATGACATTAAAGAGGCTTCAGGCGCATTCTCTGTGTATAATACTGTATATACAACATACATGCATAGTGCATATTACGTAGATGTAGACATGATGATGTCACCGGGGTCGGTGATGCATTGTATCTGTACACTCTGACAACTGTGACAGATACAATGTATGTTCCTACCATGTTGTGCTCCCCTACCATCTAATATTGTTGCCAATCTTAAATAATTTCCTTGTTTGTTTAAAAAATTTTAGACTTGGTTAGTTATTAACTTATTAGTTAATATTATAATATATAAACTCCGACGAAACAGTTTGTCACAGCCCCTCATTTGTTGTCCTCTTCTCCCTCTCTGCCTACGGTTTACCCGGCAGTTCTATTTGACAATATATATAATATTATAAATATTAAATATCCACCGGTATTCTCACCCTTTCCAATTCTTGATCCAAAACTCAACTTTGAGTGAACTCATTTGAATTGCAATTCAAATTTCAAATTTCAAATTTCAAATTTCAAAATGTCAAAATTTCAAATTTCAAATTTCAGATTTCAGATTTCAATTTTCAATTTTAAAATTTAAAATTTCAAATTAAGAGAAGAGATTTCAGGGGGGGGGGGGGGAAGTGAAGAGAAAGAAAAGAAGAGAATTCAGAAAAAAAAGAAGTGAAGCCAAAGAAAAGGAGAGCATTTGAAAAAAAAAACGAAGAAGAAGAAAAGACAGGATGAGATCAAAGTCTCCTCTCTCCCACCTCCATCATCATTCCTCACATAGCTCCTCTTTTTTTATTATAAAATAAAGTATAACAACAATGAACACATCATACAAATGAATGAATGAATGGATGAGCGAATGAATGATCGGATGAACGAATGAACAAGAATCAATGCAAAGTCAGCGAACACAGAAACAAAAACAAAAACAAAAACAAAAACAAAACAAAATAAAACAAAACAAGAATCAATGTCTCAAATATCACTTTACTGCCATTGTACAAAGATCTCCTCTTTAGACCGTCAAGATCTCCTCTTTAGACCATCAAGATCTCCTCTTTAGATCATCAAGATCTCCACTTTAGACCGTCAAGATCTCCTCTTTAGACCGTCAAGTGTGATGGCCAATCATCTGGCACGGGTTCGGAGGGCACTTGTTACGACGGTCGAGGCTCGACTCTTCGACCCTGGCGCAGGAACTCTTGACTCTATTCGTGTTTTAATAAATAAATTATTTCAATTTATTTGTGTTTAAAAAAATATATATGCCCCCATAAAATAATAAAATAGGGCTCAATAAAATTATGCACCCATAAAAAAAATAAAATGGCTGGGAAATCCTGGCCATACGGGTAGCCCCCTCGAGTTAAATTTGTTGTTTCTGAAGCAAGATTCCTATAAATCGACGGACGTCGTGGACCGCGGAACCAAGCACATGTCCTCTTTCTATCCATACCACTCAGACGAGCTGGTAGCTATGGCGGAGCATCCCTGCCTCCAACAGCCATAGCCGGGATCTCGCCTTAAAGGCCAGGATTTCCCAGCCATTCAACTCGGACGTTATCTGTGACGCCGGCTATGGCAGTAGGACAACGCAGCTGTTTCTGTGCTTCTGCGCTTCTGTACTTCTCCCTCCCCCTACAGCAGCCATAGCCGGCCTCACAAAGGAAGTCGGAGCTCGTACCCCCGAGGCAGTTTCTTGGTACCCCCCAGCCAAGTTGCCACGAGCTAACCCATAACGTGAAAATGAAAGTCCACCATAGACAAACACAAAGGTAAGTCTTCCTCAAGGTTCCCTTCTTCTTCCTGCTCCTCCCACCTCCTTCTGTCCTCCTCTCTCAATAGCCATGAGTTCTCCCTCCATAGCTGCTGTGAAAGATGTCAATCATACCACAAAAAAAAAAAAAAAAAAAAAAAAAAGATGTCAGTCGCAAGCTTACAACTGATCGTAATGTTCTGCTGCATCTGATGGTGCCATTTTTGGCATGTGCTGAAAAGTGACTTGTCCTTCTATTTCAAAACTTGTATACAACTTATACCAGGTGAAAGTGCTTCGCTCCATGCGCACTCCGACGATGGCGGATGCTGTGCTCGGTCAATACAAAGCAGGCGCGGGACCGATGGGTACACAGGGTTACGTAGACGATCCGGATGTACCGAGTGGGAGTCTCACACCGACATTTTTTGCCGGGGCAGTATTCATCGACAATGCAAGATGGGATGGCGTGCCATTCCTGATCAAAGCTGGAAACGCTCTCGACCAGCATAAGTAAGTGGATGTGGATGTGTGAGCAGCAGTAATAATTGTGTTACTCTGGTTCTTTTGTTCGTGACGGGATCCGTTTTGGGGAAAGCTGGGGTCTGGCTGACATAGGAGGCTTTTAAACGTCCTCTCTTTTTTTTTTCTTTTAAGAAAGAGTACATAGCTATTATATACTTTAAGTTTAAGGGGGGGGAAAAAAAGTTAGTAAAAAGAAAAGGTTCTGAAGGAGAGACAGAGAGAGGAAAAGTAGAGAGAGGAAAGACAAAGGTGGGAGGTAAGGAGGGAGTGTGGAGTAGGGATGAGAGTGGAAGGAAAAATAGGAGTAGGCACAACAAAAAACAAAAAGAAAAAGAGAAGAAAAAGGGATGAGATGGCTGATGACATGGCAAATCAAACGGTGGATAGGTAGGTCGCGCCTGGCGGTACAGGGTGGTCTTGTTTTGGGATGTTTGCTGGTTTGTGTGGTTTTGTGGCGATTTCATGCTTGTGTTGTTGTTTCCTTTTCAGTTTGTTCGGTTTTATTGGCCTGTGGCGTGATTTTCTTTCCCGGGGACTGAGGCTTCAGGACAGAAGCCCAGAAGTAGCTATTTCGGTTCCTAGCTAGGCTGCAAGAGTGGCCCGGGGCAAGTTTCCCGGCCCGGCAAAAAACAAAAAAAAAAATAATAAATCTTGTGTCATTTTATTTTTTATTTCAAATGTCGTAAATAATTTCGATGTGACCCTCAGACAAAAGTTGTTCAGTTTATTTTTGTGCATCACGTAGTTATTTTTTCAGATCTCTTGGATATATATTATATATATATTGTCAAACAGAGAAAATGACGAGTCGGTGAAACTCCAACAAAACAGTTTGTCACAGCCCCCCGTTTCTTGTCCTCTTCCTCTGCTCTGCCTACGGTGTATACCGGGCAGCTCTGTTTGACGATATATATAAAATTGAACAATAATGTGTGTGTGTGTGTGTGTGTGTGTGTGTGTGTGTGTGTGTGTGTGTGTGTG